TAATATCACTGTTTTTGCAACGCCTTACCATTATTTATCTGATATTCTTCATTGTTCAGTTCAAATATATTTTTTTCATTTAAGGTAATAGATTGCGCGTGTAATTTCAGCTTCTTTTCTTCTTTACTTTCTGGTATATATTATATTTTGTATGTGTGTCCGGCCAAAATTTGACTAACCAATTTTTAAACTGGCAACCCGGCATTTTTAACCTAGTGGTTACTTCGGGTTGCCAGAACCCTAATTCTTAGCAATATTTTATATATTTCTGTATTAATTAATGAAAAAAGGGTAATAAAGAGGATGTTGTTGTTGTTGTTGGCGGGTCAAAGGGCTGGAATCTTACAAAATGTTAAGGTTGTCAGATTTCGGGGTTTAATCCCGGCACTGTTGTGTAGCAGTGGCCTATTAGGACAAGCTTTAACATGATCTCAGTCCCGGATAATCTCCATAGATAACGAATGGCATAGATAGACATTGTAGACCACAGCAGCTAGCACAGTACAGAACTGTTCAAAAGAAAGGTTGTCCAAAAGAGTACGCAGCAATGCCATAAAGATTCTAATAAATGCCCAGAATTTGCGAGGCTTCAACCCTACAATGAACAACTGCGATGGAAAGCAGTGTGTATGGAAGGTTTTGAAAAGCCTTAAAAGAACTATGAAACAACGTGAACTTCTACCAAAGAACAGACCACTCGTAGTGTGGATTCTTCGGATTCATAATTCATTTTTCGAGTAACGCCGATTTTCTGTCACGCTTTCAATTTGTGGTTACTGGAGTAACTAAAATCGGCGACTTAGCATGCAAAGAGTTTTAAGAACGCTTGGAAACTCCTTTACGGGCTTTTCCTAGGCGTGGAGCGCGCCCCACTTTGGCGCGGACGACTGGGGACGAGGCAGTAGTTTCAATTTCGTTCCTACTTCCACTTTCTCACTTCCGCTTTCAGACTGTTCAAAGCTGTATCGCGTCGCTGCTTATGATGGATGACTGTTTATTCAAAATCAAATCAATTTACCAACGATAATTTCAGTTATTAATCAGTTTTTCCTCATTTTAGTTCGTGATGCCGTAAAAATGTGTCTATGTTTCGTAAATATTTCTCATCACAAATGCTCGCTCTACGTACCTTTTTGCTGAACGTAAAACTTCCCTTCGGTTGAGAATGATTCCCTTCAATCCCAGTCACCAAGGAGATACAGCTGTGATACTCAAAATGCGATGTATTTCTGCATGAAACAAAGAATACTTTTGTTGGATCGAGATGAAATTTTTATGCAAAGAAGGATCCACTGTACTGATCAAACACGTCGTCTGGACAAGCCGCATATAGTTAAGCGAAGAAAATAATTCTTGACTATGGCTCTCTTATTACCAGTGTTGTCAGCCGGGGACATAAATGCTTCTTGTTACGTGTAACGTTTCCAACTCTTAATTATGAAACTTCAGCAATCCCTTTTAACATTGCTAGAACTCTGAAACGCCGCTCCCTGAACTGAAGGTGTTTCTGCAAAAATAATTTTCCGATCGCGTCCTGATCACGAGATCAAAAGCACTCATCCGGAACTGGAATGCAAAGAAATTCAAAACGCTTGTCTGGCGTGTGATCAGCTTACAACAGGCGTCGATTTCAGGAAAATGTCTAAGTTGCATGTCAACCAGGCTCTCACGTCGAGGATTATAAGGATGGCCAACGAGAGTACAATGGGCTCTCTTTGCTTACAACGCCATAGGGTGACAGGTCTTGTGCAAATCCTGTCACACCCGCAACCTACTCAAACCATAGGTTGAGCAACAGTACCTCCACAACCAACCACCCCATCCTTCCCTTCAATTTTTTTTTTAAATTGTCCAGCACCCCCTCCACCGTTACTTAGTTTTTAGTGGTTTTATATTAAGGCCAGGGACGCGTGTACGAAGGATTTTCTGGAAGACACCCCTAAAGGTCTAAGGTAGCCTTATATAGTAATTAAAAGGATTGCTTTCAGACCAGAGTGCTCAGCTTCTATCTATATAAGAGGATTCAGTGAGGAGGCAGCGCAGAAAAGCAAAATAATGGAGAAACTTTGGTCCATGCAAAACATATTTGATTGCGAAAATCAGGGCACAAAGACCTTAATCTGCGAGAACAAGACCCTAATCGGAAGCCATCTGGATTGATTTTTTTTTTTTTCGTCTGCAACACTTGTAACATTATAACAGTGACATATTTAATCTTCTAATAAACCCATGTTATCATTGCATTCTGGGTGTCATGGTGGAGCAAGTTGAATTGTAACTTTTCGGCGACGTTTTCTGTTTGTCCTTCAGTTTTGAATTTGAATAATCTCAAACTACACAAAACATAACATGTCCGGGCCTTGTGCGCCTCCTGGCGCGAGGAGATTTAACTTTGAATCGATCCTGGGTTGGTGTTAATCGGCGTTAATCGGCTTTTGAACAACTAAGGTCCTTGTAAATTGGTCAGCAGTTAGTTTAAAAATAAGGTACAAGACAAGAAGAAGGGAGGGTAAACGATACGGTGGCCCACAACTGTCACATCAAAAACAAATTGCTCACATCAAAAACAAATTGCTCACATCAAAAACAAATTGCTCACATCAAAAACAAATTGCTCACATCAAAAACAAATTGCTCACATCAAAAACAAANTTCCAGAAAAAATGGGTTCCCTTGGCGGTCTATCCGGAAATCAAACGCTGCAAAATCTTGGAGACCCAACTCTCGGAAAGCTCGGTAACTTTGCTGGTGAATGCGGTTGATGAGTTCTCCTTCCTTTAAAGGATCAAGGAACCACGTTTTAGTAGCTGGAGACTTGCCTAGAAAAAAAGGCAAATTCACTAATTAGAGTAGGCAGTAAAGCCGCCTGGAAACACTCTCAACATTGCATGTTGGCCACCATTATTCAGCGTTCTAAGGTTCATTATGTTGGGTCCGTTTGAATTGAACGTGTTGGGAGTTTTTGCGGCTAAAATAACTTCTCAAACTCAGTAGTAAGCTTAAGTCAAGAAATTTTATTAACTTTATATTATGGCTTAGTATATCCTTTTCTGATTTATGGACTGATTGCCTGGGGTAATACTTATGAGTCTACTGTAAATCCAATTTTTATCTTAGAAAAAAAAGCAGCACGGGTGATGACATTCTCTAGCTTTGATCATCACTCTAGTCAGCTATTCAAGTCTCTGGAGATCATTAAATTTTCTGATCTCGTTACCTTCGTCATTGCCACTTTCATGTATAAATTTCATAATCAATTGTTACCCTCTGTCTTCCAGTCCTTCTTCACTAAGTTAGGTACCGTCCACAGTTACAATACCAGGCATTGTGCAAAACAGTCTTACTATCTTCCCAAAGCAAGAAAATTTAATATTCGATTTTAGGGCCCTAAGATATGGAATGCTATTGATTATGATATAAAGCACTTACCAATTTCATCATTCAAAGTTAAACTGAAACAGAGCTTTCTCCAAAGCTACTAATCAATTCTCATTTTCTTTCACATTAAGATAATATCACTGTTTTTTGCAACGCCTTACCATTATTTATCTGATATTCTTCATTGTTCAGTTCAAATACATATTTTTTTATTTAAGGTAATAGATTACGCGTGTAATTTCAGCTTCTTTTCTTCTTTACTTTCTGGTATATATTATATTTTGTATGTGTGACAAGCAAATGAATTACAAGCTTACGACAGGCTGCTGCACTTGTGATTTCCAACCTCTACTGTAACTCATCGATGAAGTCCCTCGCTTTCTATAGGTTAAAATTACAAACGAAGAGGAATACTTACCAAGGGGAAGGCCCTTTTCGTTTAACTGTAATTTGACCTCGGTTTTCCTAATGTCGTCCTGACAAACATTGTACTCAATGCACGCCAGAGCTTTCAACTTCCCAGTTTTCACAGATTCTAAAACAGCGCAACGGATTTCTCTTCCCTCGATGAACCTGTAGAATCAACCAATTCAAAAGCGATTCAAAAGATACCCTGGCCAAGTGAAAGTATCTGGCAGGTAAGGTAAGGTAAGGTAAGGTAAGGTAAGGTATCTTTATTTTAAGTCGTAAACGTGGGGAGTGGTTGCCCAATCTCCCGAGCCAGGGGCTCATGACAGAAACGCACGACTATTTACAATAACGTTACTACTTACAATTACTATATTCGCTAAGATAAATTCAGAATTAAAATATAAAATATTCCTTAGAGCACGACAGGTTAACAAGTAATGCCTTGTACAGTCGTTACTTGAATAGACAAGCGTGTTTACAGGTGCAAAGTTATACCTTTCAATAATTACATGATCCGAAAAGGAAAGTGCATGCTCAATGGCTTCATGCAATGTTTCCTGGTTTTTCACCAATCGCACTGCCTTGGTGTCCTCTCCTAAGCTTGCTTTCACCACACACGGGTACTTGATTTCTTCAACTGTTAAGGGATCTCCTGAGACGGAAAAGATAATCTTGACTCTCCTTAGGCTTAGTTGGTTAAAATCACTGAAGACTGATATATTGTGGGAGATTTCACAAGATAAGTGCTTTTTTATTCAACACATTGCTGATAAGGCACACTTTGTTGCATCTGTTATAGAAAAGCTAGAAAAGTTATCACTTTTCCCCTCAACACACGAAACTAAGCTATACGTATATCGCAAGATAACTGTTGACTGAGCGCACATTACCATATTGAGACAGTGCTACAAGGACACGTTAAATAACAAATATAGATACATGAAATGATTGAAATAAGCATGCGCATATTAGTAATAAAATTAGCACTAAAATTCAACATGCCTCCAGTATTGCTGTGTTCACCTCTAAACTTAGCCATCTTTCTTGGTATAAGTAAACAAACAACAAATATAGATACATGAAATGGATGAAATAAACATGCGCAGACTAGTTATGAAATTAGCACTGAAATTTAAAATACCTCTAACATT